CATGCTTAAGCAATGTGTCAGAGAAGGGTAAAATTGTATGTATTAATCATGTGGCGAGCCATTCAGAGGGTCGGGCTGTATGTATTTAGAGAAGGGCCTGTATGTATGTATTCTGGTTGACATGCTTAATTTTGCATTCTGATATCAAGAGAATCGTTTAAATGCAGAAGGAGGGGGGTTGTCCGTATTTCGCATGGATTGAAAATCCATTGTGTGAAAGAGCTTGTCAAATAATTCCCGGGCTACTAAGGCGAGCAAATAAATTCGAAGATGAGGTTCAAATGCTCCAAGCTGATCTTGATAACCAGGTAAACGAGCAAAAAAAAAACTATTAGCAAAGATTGAAAAACTTAAGGAGAATATGAAAAAAAAAAAAAGAAGATCTAGGGAGCAATGTTTGTTTGTGATGCTTATTATTTCATGGATTGTAATTTATTGGTTAATATAGTGATTTAAGACACTATGTTCAGAAGCATTGTGTCAAATGTGATGACTTGTGGTTGGATATGCAATTCTTGGTTAGTATCATTGTGTTTAATGTAATGGATTGCTTTTGGATATGCAATGTAATGTGTATTGAATTTTTGGTTTAGAATCATTGTGTTTAATGTAATGGATTGCTTTATGCAATGTAATGTGGATTGATTTTTTTGTTTAGAATCATTGTGTTGAATGTAATGATTTGTGCTTTTGGATTGTGCTTTTGGATGATGTTCATATTGTTCAATATGTATGTATTGTTACTAATACTAACCAAATACAACTTCTCCCAACATTCCACTTTAGCAACTTAGAAATTGTCCAAACACATGAACTTGCCAACAAATATCAATTCACCAGCCCTTTTCAATTGATACTTGACTTAACATGTCATATGATAAGAAAGAAGCATAACAACATAAGTATAAAAATTCTCCTCTCATTTGATCTTTTCTTTTTGAGGTCTGCTAAGATCAGTTGAAGCTCCATATTTTTTTGTTTCAAGGCCTTCACCTAAAGAGTTTTCTTTTCAATTTTGGAGTTGACAAAATTAGAATACCATTCTTTGTTGTTTAGTTGCTCCTCCAACTGTACTTTCTCAGACTTAAGCTTCAGCAGACATGCCTTTTGGTAGGCCGATATTTCTTCATCAACCCAGACGAAGAACAGTCATCCAAGTCGTGGTAACACATCCTTCTTGGTGGTTCAAATCGACTGCTATTATATGTGGAGCTCCCCATAGCCGGCGACGAAGCACAATTACGAGAATTTTTTTTCATCAACAAATGTACTAGGGAAGCATATATAAAATGAACAGAAGCTTGTGGAAGTGAAATATCAACTATCTGTGTTTCACTAGAAATAAAAAATATAAAAAATTCGAATCAACTTTGGATATCTGTTACCCAAGATCACCCAAAACCACAACCAAGTCTTCATTTGGATTTAACAGGTTTGGTGTCATGCATTAGATTTTCTTAACAAAAGGTTTTTGTCCACAATACCAAAGTTGGTATGGAGAATATATTCTTCTGCCTCCATTCACGCGTCAATCAATCAACAATATCTATTTTTAAGGAATCCGAATATTTGCCCCTATAATTATCTACTTTGAAAAATATGGAATATATTCCAACAATCTTGAACATGCTTTATCAATAGATCTGATGACATAGATAAGTCCAAGGCTATGTCACATGATATTAAAATGATTCCAATATCCATCTATAAAAGAAGTACGAGAATGGGGTATGTGTATTAAGCAGCATAACAGTTACAAAGACAAAAAAAAAGAACTACAAAAGCGACATTAACTTAATGGCTCCTAACGGGAAACCGAATTCAGCTATTTCCCAGAATAAGGTCTTCTACAATAGTGAATGGACAAGAGAAGTTGAAAAATGGTTCATCAAGGAGTTGGTCGACCAAGCTGCTGCGGGCCAGGTTGAGGCGGGCAGTCCAAACCATCACGCCACATTGATGGCAATGGGTGTCGTCAATGAGGTGTACGGTAGGAACTTCACTTTGAATTTTTGTCATGGAAAACTTCGTAAGCTCCGCAAACGCTATCAAGTGTTTAAGTGGATAACCCAACAGAGTGGCGTGATATATACACCCACTGATCATATGGTGCATGCAAACGAGAATACATGGGAATACATTATTCGTGTAAGTCATTTATAAGTTGCATGAATAGTTGTGCACTGTAAATACATTCCAATGTTCTTAAATGTTAAACAACATTTTTCTTTTTTTTGCTCTAGCATGAGAAGCTCGCAATGGCCTATATTAATGAAGGGGAATCCGCTTTCGAGGACATGAAGCGCCTGTTCAGAGATGGTCCGGACTCCGAGGACGACCAGGATCCACATGAAGTCATTGTTATTTCAGACGATGACGACAATGATGATGATGACGGTGGGGATGAAGATGGTGTAGGAGGATATGGCAGTGCTGGTAACCCCCATTTGGTTATTGAGAATGAATCCGACAACAAAAATAACTGCTTTCATTATGATCTTGCTTGGTATAATTCTGATTCCACAACCGTGTCAACTGTCCCGAATCCAGATAACCCACCAGCCACATTACCTTCCGCTTCAGAGGTATTGAGTAAGTTTCAGAGGAATTGGGCAAGCCACGACTGGGCAAACAACGAGGACGAATATGACGAGATCCCAAATAGTTCAACTGCCTCGTCTTCGCCTTTCAAGAAGTAGAGAGGCGTTATATGTGTAGTGATTTCGGTGGGCCATTTCTATGTTTTATTTCTGTTCCGTGTGTTTCATTTGAATAAGCAACTAAGTCCTTCGGTTCTTTGCTAATCTGAATTTGGAGGGTAGGTGCATGTAGTTGTGTGTTTCCATTATGAACATGTGTAAGCAACTAAGTCCTTCGGTTCTTTGGTAGTCTAAATTTGGAGGATAGTTGTATGCAGTTGTGTGTTTCCATTATGAACATGTGTAATTGTAGGCTCGTTGGGGTTGAGGATGTGTTCTCCCCCGACTTTTGTGTTTGAATAAATTTGTCACCGGTTCCACCGTTTTTAATACCTTATATGTTATCAAAATGCCTTGCATGAATTGTATTCATTGTTGTCCTTACCTAGGCTAAGTAATGAATTTTATATGCATGCTACTTCAATCAGTAACGAATATATATCTTTTATTATTTGTTTTTTCAACTTTATTTTGTTCTTCAATTGTTTGCACTATACGTTTCAATAATTTGATATTACCCAAAAACTAAAGTAAAACTTGAAAAGTTCGATACAAATCTACCATATGTAAAAGGCAACAATGGAAATGAGCTAAAGGCAAAAAGAAGCAATGCATTAACACTAAAACGAGAGACACCAAAATCTCATCAGTATACCAGCCTATATGGACAAAAACCAAATTAGCATATAATACAGACCCAAATACAGGAGATAAATGGTGGTACAAAGCAGGAGGCAATTCAGATCAAATAGTCCAACATGAAACTAAGCTAATATTAGAAACATCACCATTACAAGAAGAAAACCAACATGATCATTGTCTTCAAATAAGTCACTGACATACATTCCACTAACAAAGCCATAAAAGTCACATAAACTTAATTATGCAATAACAAAAGCAACACTGGCTGGTATCAGTCAGAAGTGAACAAAAGTACATGATTTCAATGTCAGTCTTACAAAATCATGTCACAAAAACAAGCAGCATGCATTTAAATCATAGAATGTTCTTCAGAAATATTGCATAACTAAATTTGCCCCTCTAATTTCATCCGAACGAACTCTGCTTTTGCACGATCATCCAAACTGAAGAACAAGTCTAGTTCATCCGCGTTCTTCACAAGTATTTTTGATATTAATAGTTGTTCCTGTAAGTTCAATCCCTCAATGCCTCTAACCATAGCAAACACATCCTTTCGAGCTTTAGACACATCATATTCATAACCAATTCGTTTTGCGATTGCACCTAACCGAGCACTTGTATTTTCAGAGAAACTTCTCATTATATCACATAAAGGATCAGTGGATTCAGTCGATTTTTGTTTGCGGCTGCTAGTTTTATTACCTCCACTTGAGCAAAGTGGGTTGCTTTATGACATTGTTCCTGGAACATGTTCATCTTGCTCAACTCCAAATGCATCAGTATGAAGTGGTTGTGGGCTATGTGACATAACAGGACTTCCAATATTCACATTACTGACCGCATCAAGAATGTCCTCAGCTTGTTTGCCCGTCGCCCGATCTTTTCCGAAGATGTGGATCCAGTAATTGTAGTATGGCCAGCTTTTATACCGCATTAAACAAGCATTTGCATCAATATGTAACACGAGTATTTAGTAAATGAAAGCTACCAAAATAGTTGTAAGTAAAGAGGCCATGTAAAAAAACATGCTTTTTTCTTACCTTTGTATAATCAAGCCATGCCTCATCCGTTGTCTCAATCATCATGGTGCTTTCATTCCAACCAATTCCGACCTTGCAAGCATCGTACTCAGGCTCGCATAGTCTTTCTTCCATAAATGAATATTCGAGTTAATGTGCGGCACTCCACGCAAATCTGTTTCTGGCAATTGTTTTCTCAGTTCCTGTTCGAGAACGTTCAAAAACCCCATTTTGAAGCCATTATCCGCTTTCCACCCAGTAGCGATAATTCCTTTCAAAGCTCCTATAAGAATTTCTTCCTCTTGCATGCTCCAACTTCTCCTCCCTTTGTCTGCCCTTGGCTTTCTGACCTTTTGACTTGCCCGACCACCCAAATCCATTCTCAAAGTCGCCCAAAATGATCAATTACAACAGAAGAATACCTGAAAATAGCCTTAATAAATGTTGCACAACATTTAACAATTCTTATAACATGACAAATGAAATTTAGAAAATATATGGGACACACATTTAGACATTTCAAATAAGCTCAGAAAGCAAGTAAACCAGTGTCAAATAAAATAGAAAAAGTGCAGAAAATCATAATACATATCTCCAAATTAAAGTGACATGTCATCTAATACATATCCATTCATTGAACATTTCATTAGCAAGCTTGTCCCTCCACTCAGACCATTCGTTTGAAGTCTCTACAACATCAATTAAGAGAGGTTTGTCCCCGTCAACATTGGCAGTGTCGACGGATCCCTCATCATTTGTCTCCAACGGGTCAATAGGAAGTTCAAGTCGGATGAAATTATGAAGGAGAACGCATGCCATTATTAATCTATTTTGAGTTTTAATGTCGTAGAAACTCGAACTACGAAGGATCGCCCATCTTTTTTTTAAAATCCCAAAACTACGTTCAACACCATTTCTTGCTTTAGAACGACACATGTTGAAAAACTCCTCCGGTGTTTGAGGACATAATCTACCGGCTCCCCAGTCTTTTAAGTGATACCGAACACCCTTGTAAGGGGTTAGGAACCCATCTCCATTTGTATAACCATTATCGCAAAGGTAGAAACTACCTGTTTTAAAAACAAGTTATTTAAATTAATTATGGAATTAAGTTTCACATATATGTTAATTTAATGACTTCATTTTAATTTTAAATTACCTCGTGGAATTTTTAAACCATTCTGTCGGTTTACCGCATCACGTAACACCCGACAATCTGCGGCAGAACCTTCCCACCCACATAGAACATAGACAAAATTTAAATTGCGATCTACAACTCCTAGTACGTTAACAGCAACTTGACCCTTCCTTGTTCGATATCTTGTCTTATCTACCTCAGGTACTGTTACTTCAATGTGAGTTCCATCTAGAGCACCTAAACACCCCTAAAAGTTTAAAATAATATATTAATTTTACTGATTTGAGTTAATTAATAAGAAAGGTCTTTTATAATAAAAAAATGGTCTCTTATGTATATATGTACCTTGAACCACTTCCATCTCTTGTCCGTGGTATTATCAACAGGTTCCGGTTTAACAAGCAGAATTGAATGAAGACGCAAAACAGCTGCTAGAACCTCATGTACGTAAATGCTGACTGTTTGGCTAGACCTCTTGAAGTCAAACTTCACTACTCTCAATTTTTTGTGGTGGGCAATAATTGAAAGAAAAAGTGCAACCTTCTCAATTACCGATACGTATTTAGAATCACACAAGCCTCCAGCACTACAAAGTATGTAACACAACTTTGAAAATGCTCCTTTGGTCATTCGCAAATTCTCCAAACATTCCATTTCATTAAGTGACACCAAATTGTTCAAATGCTCAATTTGCTTAGGGATTCTATTGGCCATCACATATCTAACTCTTCTCTCAATAGAATCAGTAAAAACTCTACGACGCTTCCTTCTCATCCTAACGACCATATTCATAAAAAATTCCGACTCATGCATCATCTCTTCTATAAGAAGGAAAATTTCAGCCTTTGTTTTGGAAATCTCAACCATTCTGCACAAGTGTTTGGGCATTTTAAAAACAAGCAGGAGGAAAAAAAACCAACAGAGACGTAAGGTAAATAGACATGAATGTGGAACTATTTATAATGAAGATAGACATCAATTGTCAAACCTTTAAATCAATTCCTGGTAGGTAGTCAAGAGACGACAATCCACGTTTTGTAGCTATCAAATGACAAGTAAACATGGATCTACGAATGTGGGGGGAGGAAGATTCAGATCCATAACTCAGATAAAAAATAAAAATAAAAATAATGGAAATAATTGCAGGAAAAAAACGAGCTTGGTACTTACATTTCCTTAAATGCAAAATAAGGCTAACTGATGATTAAAGATTGCCTCTTGCAAACATCGAGAATATACAGACATTAGAGATCCAAAAATTTTACGAACAGGGATGGGGGCTGAAAACAAACGAAAAACAATCCAAAAAATACCAAATACAAGACAAGGGGGCAATATTACCGTGTGGAGAAGAAAAAAATTGCCAACGATTACGGTGATTCCATCGAGAGAATTAGCGTGAAGTCGCGCAGCTTCTTTGTGTGGTCGAACGGAGCAAGTGATTTTTGTTGAGAAGGAGTCAGACAAATGAAGACCTAATCTACTTTTGGGGGTATTTTAGTAAATAAAGTTTTGAGGGATATGGGTTGAAGATTGTATCCAGATAAATTTGTGTGATATGGGTATAAAAAATGGATGTATAAAGTGGCGGGCCTTAGCCATATCTAAGGCTATCACAAGCCCAACCAAACAAGTTAAAGTTGTTGAATGTATATTTGTTAGGTGAGATCATGTACAATCAGCCCAACCAAACGGGCCCTAATAAAGCAATGAAATATTAAGTAACCTAAATAATCTAGATATCATAAAGTAATAAAGAAACTAAATAACTAGGGAATTTTGAAAGCCTTGACTTGCACTCCAAGTTGGGAAGAATAATCTAGAGAAGATTCAGCTCAAAAGACTCTTAGAAGACTCAGTTTCTTGTTGGCCAAGTCATCCCCGCGCGCTGCCCTGGCAGGCCTACGTGATGACGGACCGTGTTGTTATCTATATTTGGGTTGTGAATAAACGACGCACTCAGGGCCTTTGTTTAGACACGATAGGTGTATCTAGTAGGCGCACTCAGGACCTTCTCCTAGACACTGGGACTTCGAGACGCTCTCAGTGCCTTCTCTCCGACACTGTATGTAAACACGCAGTAACGGCCTTGTTTATCACACTTTAGAACATAAAGTTCCCCTCAAAATTGGCTCACCAATTCAATACTCAATTCAAGACATCACATTATGATGAGGTACATGGGGTATTTATAGGTGCATAAATTAAATCTAAGCCTAAATAAACTAGATCTTCTAACTCTTGTAATAATAGAAATCCTAACACTAGAAAGCAATAAAATCCTATTACTACCATAATACTAATGCTTGGCTTGCACACCAAGCAATTCTAGAATCTCCAAAATTCGGCCGCCTCATCGCACCACCTCCTTAATGCGTGCGCGTTCGCGAGCCCTAGTCCTCGGTGGACTCGTCGTCTTGCGCGCGCCCCGCACACGCGCCCGCTCTTGCGCGCGCTCTATCCATGTCGCCGCTACCTGCGCGTGCGCGCTGCCTTCCTCGCCTATGCCTATCGCGCATAGGCATGCGCCCGCGTCTTCGCTGCACTCATGCGCTATCGCGCGCACCTCACCATCGCCAACCTTCTCGCGCGCGTCCGTGCCCTCCAGTCCTAGGCCTACAAGGCCTAGGCCGTTGCCCGCGTCCTCACCAATCGCGTGCCCAGCGCTTCCCGTACGTCCATCGTCCACAGTGCCGCGCGTGCCAACCGTCCCCGTGGCCTGATCGCCTAACGCGCACCCGCTTACGCCCGATGCCATCCGCGTGCGGTTACCCTCCATTGTCGATTCTTCCGATGCGCACCATCGTGCGTTGCTTGCATCTAGTTTCCCGACATCGCTCGTCCGTGCACCGTCTCGTCCCTTCGATCCCTTGCACGCATCACGGCACGATGCGCGTTCTTCGCTCTTGCTCGCACCCTCGTAGCCAACCGACCTCAAGTGCTTGCCCGATTCTTTTAGCTTCCTGACGGCCATGGATCCCATCCATCCAACCCAACACAATCACCGGCTCGCAAAATCCATCCACCCTCCATTCTACTCTTACCTCGACTTTGAGCCTCCATCTTACGAATTTGTCTTTTTCTCGCACACGGCTTACACCAACACTTCTCTTCTTTTGCTTTTGCCTTGTGTTTCCTTCGAGCTCATTTGGTCTTACGTCTCTTAGGCTTAAGCTTAGCTCGTGGGCCACATCCTTTCGGTCAATCCCTCACACATGATGGCCGGTAAAGAGGACTAGATGACTCTTCCAACATATTTTCTAGCCAAATATCGAGACCATCGCCACCTTCATCCTCTGACTCACCTGGGTTGATGACCACTTCTGTATCACTGCGCCCGCGCACGCGTGTTGCTGCGCAGAGCGCGCCCGTCTCTTGGCGCGTGCCTGCGCGCGCGCTATTCTGCATTGTCGTGCCCGCGTACGCCCACGCGCCGTTATGCTGTGTTGCGTCCACCAATGCGCGCGTGTCTCCGCGCGCGCGGGATGAAGGTTCGTGTGTTTTTTTCCACTCGCTTGCCTCGAACACAGCCTCGCCACGACTTGCTCTCGACGGATAGGTGTGACCGACTCGGTTATTAGCCTAACT